TTATACAAGACTGCGCCGGTTCTAAGTAAGAAAAACTTGTTAAATAGAACGAAATATGCTGTGCTTGTTCCAGTGGCAGCTTTCGGTTACATGTTTAGCAGAGAGTGAACATAGAACTCACATGTCCCTAATTTAGTATTCGTATATATGTAATATATGTATGTACCTGTGAATATGGACGTTATTATTGCCTACTAAGTTTCTTTTCTACATTTAGTTTCCACCATATATGTTTGTATATTCTTAAATACATATGTACACACACCCATGCAAGCAGTTATCCTGCACACAAAAGGGTGTGTGTGGTGCAAATGCTTTCCATCGATCGGGCTGTTTCTTATGTTCCAGCGTTTACTACATGGGCCAGTCTGTCACTCATTCGGTCTACCGCACTAATATTTAATGACATGGCCTAGTTAGTTGGACTGTTTAGTGTAATTTTGAAAATTGCTTTGTTTAATTTAACCACAGCTTGCTTGACTCAGAAATAGATCAAATTCAATACGCCAATCCTGAGTGCAATTCAGCCAGCCAAACACATACATACAAACACACATGTAGATATGTAGTTATTTATAGACATTTATTTGATGTGTTATTTACGAACATTGACAAAAGTCAGATAAAATTTAAGTTAAACGATTATTTACTTGAACCAAATAATTCATCAGCTGTTATAAGCAAGCATAGTCCATTGTTGAGGTCCCTATGTTAGACGGAAAATAATTACTTTGTTTAATGGATTACTGGATTTGTCTACTAATTTTATCCATTTATTAGGGTAATATTCGAAAATTGCTCTAGCTTGTATGGTAGCCTTTAATTGCAGTATCTTCAGAGAAAACTGATTGGGTGGCCAAGGAAAATTAAGTATGTTGGAACCGTTTGTAATGAGCGTTTTTAATATCTCAGCTGTTAAATGCAATGTCTTGGACGAAGCTGACCAATTAAAAAGCTATTATGGAGACCACTAAGTACAACATAGTTTCAAAATCTATCAATTTTAGTGACTTGAAATTACTTACCGAATACCGGTATACGCTTCACTGCCAAGGTAATTGTAATTGAAAATTATGGAAATTTCCGGCAGACATGCGAGGTTTTATTTACTTAAAACAAAAACGAGCTGCTAATAAATTCAATACGCTTGAAGCGTAAGCGTTTTTGGGATGGATGGATTGGATGGGCGCATACCGGGCGATGGTATCGCATGCATTGAAGCAGCGCACCGTTAAGTAAGTGGGGTAAACGAGTTTAATTGATTGCCGCAAAGAACGCTATAACCACATGGCCGTGGGTGTAAATGTGCAATGACGACGAAAAAAAAAAATAAATTAAAAGAAATCGGAGTTGGAAATTAAGTGAGTGCCTTTAGAAGTGACAGCATTTGAGGTGCCAATGTAGCCACGTCAGTTTGAGGGGGAGAGGGCGTTGATAGTGGCAAATGAGTGCTTTGCGTTGAAAGCTTAAATGGGCGGTGGGTAGTTATGCACGGGAGAGTGTAGGCACAACTCCTGTCGAAGTTTTCAAGGCTTTGCTCATCAATGCAACGATGAAATTAGGCGCACGGGGGGGGGGGGGGGTTGCATGAACTTGTTTGTTGCCCGTTTGCTTACTGAAGGTCAACGTCAACAAGTCAGTTTTGTGATTGCAATACACCATTTAATTTGTGTGAGCAGTTTCGAAGTAAGCAAAAGTATTTGGTGAAATTAAGTACTTCGTTAAATGTTAATATTAAATTAAAATTGATTTAGCATTAAAAGGCTATTAGGTAGGTAAATGCTTATATTTGTATTTATTTATAAAATGCAAAGCCTTGAGCTGTAACAAAGCTATGTACAAGTATATGTGACATTCTTATTTTCTACGCTTTTATTTTGGGACACGTTTGTAAATATTGTATGTGGTTTTTTCTTTTTATATCCTTAATACAGAATGATGCCATTTTCGTAAATGGAGACATACAGATATACATAAATAGTGCTATCAGAGAATATCCGTTTGAAGTAAAACAACTGAATTAATACAATTTTTAGAGGTGTGAAACAGGAAAACCACCCCAATCAAAGCAATTTAACCATCATTTTCATTGATTTGTGACACGGTCTATATGCTTTTCAGAATGATTACACAAGTCTGAAAAAAAAAATTGAGAACTGTTTTGATTTTTTTGGGTACTTCCATTTTTTTTGGGTGTGCTGAATCCGAAAATGACTTTCATTTTGTCACAGAAAGCCTCGTTTTCTGTGAATGTAGGTATGTTGTTTATATTAAATAAGTAATCACATTAAAAAAATATATATCTTTATATTTCCGAAAAAAAACTTGTTTTTATATAAAATGCTTTCATTAGTAAGTACTAAACAAATTTCTTTTCCCAGAGAGACTCCTTTTGGTACATTTTTGCTTGTACGAAGCATCTGGAAGGTTTCTCCGAAACGGCAATAGTAGTCGGTCATCATTGAGGCGCTCCATTTTCCCTGGTATCTCTTTGCTATCTCCTTAATATCTTGGTGAAATCATTTACCTAGCTCTTCATTCCAATCTCTTAAACTTTCTGTAAAGTATTCAAGATGGCAATGAAGAACATAGCCTACAACTACTTTTAGACTCATTTGAAAGCAGCTTGAAATGCATAGAAATGGCCACAGCTGCTTTAAGGCTTCTTTTTGTAGAATGTATGAGAATCTGCCGCTGTGCTGGGTCGTATGAGATCTTAAATGCATCCATTAAACCTTCAATGTTGGTGCAATATATCAAATCTTCCTCTCGGACATAGTACGAAGTAGTCTGCCTCTCACGATATCTAAAACAACCGCGGCAAAAGTTAGTTCCTTCTATTGAGCTTGATCCAAACGATTTTGGAAAGATTAAATTCTCCCACTAAATCATGTGGCTCGCCTTGGGAAAACAGTTTCGGGCTGCTGTTATCTTCAAACTCAAAAGTTGGCTTGCCATCGGGTTCAAGATGTTGCTGTAATCTTCTTCAGAGCTTGGAATCTCTTTCAAGGTAGCAGAGGACTTGGGCACTGATAGCTAATTGCAGATTGGGGTATAGAACTGACTGCTTTTGTTTTGAACTATACCGAATCATATATTGGCAAGCTTTTTTCTTAGCCTTAAGTCAATTTCGAAGGTCTTCAACACATGCACTATGCGGAGTATACTTTTTTTTTTCAAAGTCCGTTATATTGATTTATTGCTCCAATACTATATATTCGTCACAAATATAACAGAGACTACCAGATGAATTTCAACTTCCACACGGACGACATTGTACCAGAGAACATACAACAAGTTTTCTGGTTTATGTTTGTTAATTTAGCTCGCACAGATCTTTCTTTATTTAGAAAGAAATGATAGTTATAGCCTGTTTACATTTAAAAAAAGTAGTCAAAATAAAATTGTACTGTTTTATTTATGATTTTAAGTTAACCCCAAATAACCCCTTGTTTTTAATGAAATTTTGCGTTTTGCAAAATAACCTGACGTCCAGGAAATTTGTTTTTCGTTTTCAGAACAATTAAATACATATAAAGCAGTTGAAAACATGCCTATAGCATTTTTGTTGCAGACTTTGTTATTGTGTTATGAAATATAAGTGAACTATCTTTAAAATTCAAAATAATTTCGTGCTCTGCTCAGAATAGCAAAAAAACAAAATTTGGCATGAATTATTCTCCAAAGTATCTGTCCAATCTCCGAAGAAATCGTTGTGATCGGATCACTACAGCTTATATTATAGTTGGCATACAAACTGACCGGTCGAAATCAAGTTCTTTAATGAATCTTTTGTATTTTTGAAGAGCATTACAGCTTCGGTGCAACCGAAGTCAACGGGTTTTTTTGTTTTGATTAAATTTGTGGAAATGTAAGGTTAAGGGCTACCGTCCTGGTAAATAACAAAAACAACTTTGGTGGCCAATATAATGTATGAAACGATTTAATATTTACTACTTTAATTGTTTCACCCTTTTATTTGTCTGGGTTAGTCAATGATGTGGATAATTCGAATTTGCGAATAATGTTAACGCATATTTCTATGTATGTGCTTACGTAAACGAGTGAGGGCTTGTGTTAAATAAAAATACCTACACCATATGTTTAAATACTTCTTTGTATCTACATACATACTTGTATGTTGTCATGGTTGTTGCTGACGCTAATGATTTTTGATCACATTTCAGTTGATTTGGTTTTCTAGTCATCGGAGCTAATAGCCAATGGAAAGCTTCATCATGAGTTACGTGTTATTGGTGCCTTTGAGTTGTGAGTCGCGGTTGACCATGATGATATCTCCTTTCATTCTGCAGTTATATTTTCCATTTGACTGTTGTGGGTGCCAGGGTTTCTACATTGGTCACAAATATGTGGGTGTGTACTTCGCAACTTTTTAGTAAGCAATTTATAAACGGTAGAAGTGATAATCTGTACCATATTCCTTTACTATATAAACTAGTGCGCATGACAGACTAAAATGACGTCAAATTTAAGAAGATCACTCCAAACCGTTTGATGCTGGTGAGTAAGGTTCCAATTAAGTTGCTCCTCAGCAATATGGTTTGTTTATTTAAGTGTTGTAGAACATATGTATTTCGGGAGGTGAGACGAAATACAAATCAGGCAGGCTGAATGCTTCGTATTGTTATATACCTATAGAAAAAAATGTTTCCTACAAAATTGGTTTTATTATTCAATATAATTTCCGATGAGAGCGATTTCGCCATAAAATGTTACAATAGCGTTTTGTTATAGTCACTGCTGATCGTTTTTTTCTTTTCAAGCTAGTCGAAGAAAAAATCAGAATCTTCGTACTATAGGTAACAAATCGAATAGACGATATTACGAACGCTTATGCTATTCATAGTTATATCAATGAGATGACGAATCAAAAACTATAAAGAGGTAAGAAATTATAATTTTTTTCATACTTTTTCGTAAAGCCTTTTGTACTTACCTCAAACGACTTGCCCAACGGATATAGTTTATAAATCTTTTTATGTTTATTTTTCTATGATATTGTTTTTATTATTAGTATTATTAATAACTTTACTATTTCTCAATTTGCATTTGAATATATCAATGTTCTCATCGGTTATTATTTCTCTTCGTATTTTATTTTTATAATTAGTTAAAAATTACATTAACCAAGTCGACATGTTTATCTTGAATGAAGACCTCTTGAAGCCAGTCATTTGCGACATTTTTGAATTTTTGTCTTTAAAATTATATATTTATTTTCTTAAATATTACCTTGATAATAGGCGCTAATTTTAAAATAATTCTTTGCTCCAAATGAATTTAAGAGTTTTCCGTTTGATACAATATGAAAATTAAAACATAGACACATGTCTGACTCAGGTGACCTGCTCCAAAATACATTTTTATGGAGCATTAAAATATATACTAAATTATATAAATGATTATTAATGAATGAAGCGTAAGTTTGTATATAATGTTACACGTTAGAGATGCAAATTTTAAATCTATACATGAATGTTAGATTTAAAAATTAAAATAACTGTTATGTTACTCTCATTATATTTCTCTTGTTGACTACTTTGAACTAAGAATTGCTTATAAGAACTAAAAACTGGGATAATGACTATTAAAGATAGTTTGATCTAATTTTTTGCTATATATGTGGTCGTCTTATCGCCTTATCGCAATAGTTACCTTTAGGAAATTGCCTAGAACTTCGAATTTAGTAATATTAAGGAGTTTAACTAGATGTTTCAAAATCTTGGGTTGCCTTTTTTTTTTTACCTTAGGGCTGAGATTTTTCACAAAGTGAACGTGGTCCAGAAATCTTGGGTTGCCTTTTCTTTTTACCTTGGGGCTGAGATTTTTCACAAAGTGAACGTGGTCCAGCCCCCTTATAGGTTTGGTATACATAGCTCACAAACCACTAAGTGATTTCCTATAGAATCCTCATTGAAAATGGGTGAAATCGGATGATATCCACGTCCACTCCCATATAAAGGTTGTGCTGAAAACTAATCAAAGTGTTCAGCTATGCTGGTTTTCAAAGGAAACGGTGTTAAAAGTAGACAATAGGCGAGGCAACGCCTAAATTTAGGTCAAACGAATATTTCAGGAACCGTTCGACAACTTTAAATCTCATTTGGCGGATAGGGTTATATTGACAAACATTGTGAAAGTGGGCGAAATCGGATCATAACTACGCATACTTACCGTATATCACAATTTTAAATTCGTTATGATTTTTTGACCTTATTGTAGATAAGTTTAGTACTAATGAAGACAACGGAACAAACCTTTGCACAAAGAGTACCTTTAGTGTATGCCATCTCACATTTAAAAATTGTCAGAATCGGACCAAAACTTCCCAAGCTCTAATACACTGAATATGAGGACATTAGCGCCTCTGGGTGATATTTAACCGAAAATATCGCTCAATCTGTGATATTTACTATTGATATTCAGAGAAAATAATTAGCAGATAATAATGTACGCTTGAATGGAAAATGGAAGAAAAGAAAGATCGCCATTTTTATTAGATAAAAACACGGAAAGCAAAAAATTCGTACTGACTTACCCTTTACTTTCTTTGTTTCGTTGCTAAAGTATCAATTGCCACGCAAAGCGAGAAAAGTTGTGTTGGAATCGGTCACTACTTAATCTCAGCTATACTTTACAAGGGTAATGAATATGTTCAGATGTGGATCTCTTAAGAGGCCTCGAACAAGTTTTTTGCACTGATTTTACTGAATTACTGCGTAAAGATTTAAAATTTGCACTGATCCTTGTAATGGTTTATATGTAGGTACATACATATGTATACATGCTGTATATAAAAAAGCCATTTTAATGTGTGTTTATAAAAATGTGAATGCATACGCTTTGTTTTCTCAACTTATCTAGTATTTCGGAATGGGTGTTTGCGATTATGCTTATTTCTATGCGAATATCTTTAAGCGTTGTCTCTTATCTCTTCATTATTTTCTCTACTTAAACGCTAGTTATTCATATGGTACATTGTTGGCTTGAATCGAATTTGATTAGTTAACGCTTATTCGAATAAACTCGAACGAACGTTCAGCGCTGAGATACCACGAGAGTTTTCGCGTTTTACGCACTCACATGTGTTTACTACCCGCCGATTCCGATGACTTCGCTGATAATTTGATTTGTAAACTACTATACTCGTATTTCATGGTTATATTTATCTACTCAACTCTTACTAGTTAGTCTAATGTATTCGTATAAATGTGTTCGCTACCATCCAACAGTTACAACTTCTAACAATGTCACTCGGCTAACCAATACAATACACATACATGCTTAACTACCGTATGCATCTACGTATATGTATATGTGTACCATATATGCTTGCTTCTTTATTCATAATGACATACATACATTTAATTTCTTTTTATTTATATGTACATAAATTAACTTATGCTTTTATGTTTGTATGCTCAGATGTGTATGCTTGATAAGTTTTGCTTAAATATAATGTTAACATTGCGCAATTTTCTATGCAGAATTTAGTTATGAATCTAATGCGGTATGCCTGAAGCTTTGGCGATTTGTGATGGATGAGATGGCGAAAAGAACTTTAGAAAATAATAACGGGTATGATTTTCAGTAGAGCTCTGAAGCTGATTCTAGCTAAATGGAGCTACGCAGAAGCCAATTTGTTTCTTGTGTGTGATGTGTGTGAACAGTGAAACAGAATACTTGAAAACAAAAATGATTTGCTTTAAAAAAAACAAAAACAGTAAGTAAAAGTAAAAAAATCTAGTGAAATATGAGAACCGAGGTAATAACACACATACATACAAGTAAAACAATAACATTATTGTTAAATAATTTTAATAAAATATGATATATAACTGAACAAATATACATTGAAATAAGTTTGTAAACATTTTGTTTCATTATACTACTTTTAGTTTTCCAAATTGCTTATGTTAAAGTATTAGGGTGACCGTTGTTGATTTTAGTTTGCAATCGCCCACTAAAGATTCAGTTTTTGCACTAAAAAAGTATGCAAAGTAAACAAGCTCTTTATTTTCAATTTATACCGTGCCGAAATTATATTTCTTTGCCCATGTATATAATGTGCGATTTCTTATAGTTTGCATTAAGCAAGAAAGTCGACAGCTTTGAAGAAGTGATATTCTTATTCAAACAAAAATTCGCTCTACATCATGTTAATGATTTTTCCATAAATCGTTCCTTTATAAGTTAAACGCGTTTAAACTTATATACTAAATGACCTGAACATTCACACAACTGATTTATACATTCTGTGTTGCTCATACGACATGGTGTACTACATCAATACAATCCATACATTTGATGCATAACTTTAAATGCGTATAACTTTTAAAGGAACATGTATATGAAAAAAATTATTAAGAATTTTTTTGTAGAGCAAAATTTAGATTAAAATAGCATCTTTTCTAAGTTGTGGAGTTATTTTATTTTGAGACAAAGCTTATGACATAGTGTAAAAAAGCCCATATTTAATATATGTGAGTAGTTGATCCTTTGTTTTTATGGCAAAAAATGAAACTTAATTGGTTGCGTTTGCCAAAAAAAAAACAACTTGGGAATTAAGGGACAGCCTAATGTATATGTATGTGTTTGTATTTTTGTGGTGTGGAAAACTATAACTTTTGTTAGCACACGTGAATGTAATAAATTAATAAATTGTATTGTCAAGCACGTTGCTATTCATTCACAATTTTATTGTTTAAAATGATTTGTTTACAAGCGTTCACAAATTAAGGCTGTAGTCATCAGCGGAGTTTCTAACTAAAAAATAAATACTGCTTAATTCATACTCATACATATGTATATACATAAAAAGCTCACAGAAGTTTTTTTTACTAATAATGATTTCCCTTTTTTGTTTACCACTGCACACATAACCCTTCATCGGTCTGACTTTATTTAAGCACCGAACTCGAAATTAAAGAAAACAGTGAAAGGCAATATTTTGCGTTGAAAATAAAATCTCCACAAATTAAAGCTACTAAAAAATCCAAGTTCGTAATCTGAGGCCTTGTTTTTTGTATTTTTACATAGTGTTTAAAAAAATTGAGTTTTGCGGAAGCCGTTCCGATGTTTTGGCTCCGAATGTAGCTGATGTGCAATGAAAAGCTTCTTGGTATGAGATGATCACATTCTAACCCAATTTGTGAAAACTATATCTCGTCTCATTCGTTGATCTCTGCGTATCGCCGCCTAGGCACAATTGAATTTAATCTAATCGCGAACAACTACAGATCCGAAGATATAATAGTTTGTATTCGATTCGAGTTGGATTCGTACAAAAGGATAAGCGGATACCACATTAAATTAATATAACTGCTATCTTCAAAGTAACCAAGTTTTGTTTTACACATTTTGGACCAGTTTACAATTTCTCTCAAAAATAAAAATAAAAAAAATTATATATTTAAAAATTTAAATGAATTATAATCGTTCATAAAAATCAAAACTAAGGCGTAATGAAAAAGTTTTTTGACGTAAAGAAAAAAATCTCTGCCAAAGCTGGAATCGCAACACAATTGCGCATGCTGCAAGCCGAAAGTGAGAGTGAGGATAGTCTTTAACCGGATGTGCATTTGCAGACTTGGATCCGTTCAGAACTCTTCACAGGCTCTTCAACAAATTTAAATATTATTGTCATCACTGATCAATTTCAAAAAATTATAAGCACTGCAAAAAATAGTACCTAGAGATAGTTAACTTGTGATTTTCACGCGCATTTGCAATGCTTTTGTGGACATTTTTAGTGCATGTGTGTACGTATGCCTAAGCATAATGTTACTTATTAAAAAAAACAACGTTCGATTATCAAATTGTACACAATTGTCAACAACAACATAGATGCATTAACATTTATCTACATATGTATATATCTAAATATATATATACACATAACGGTACTTCGCGCAACACACGCACATTCGAGGCACATCCAAGCTGTTGCATCTAGATTTGCATGCAGCATTTGTACCGACTGTATGCGAGCGTATATTTAGTTGCATTCAAGCGTTATCGCCGTTTTTACTTTTTTTTACATTTTACAATTATTTGCTCAACATTTAAAATTTATATACTCGTTCACATACACCTAAATTAGCAGAATTAGTATTGTCTGCTACAAAACATTTCAATAATAAAAATTATTTCGCATTTAATATAACTAATAAACAACAAACACAACAAGTGCCGCTGCTGCTAATACAAACATGAGTGCGTGTATGCTTGCTTGTTTGTGTGTGTGTATTAAAATTATTTTACCAAAATGTTAACACTTTTACACGCTTTTGGTGCAATTCGTTAGCTCCAATTACTATATATACATAAACGATAAAAAATTCAAATTTTTCTAATGTTGCATTTATTCACTGCAACAAAAATTTAATATTGTTATATCCGCAAATGATAAGAGTCAAAAACAAGCAAAAACGTTAAGTCCGGTTACACCGAATCTATAATACCCTTTACAAATACAAACGATATAATAACTTGATTTTCTATGGCAGCTATATTCTATAGTGTTCCGATCTGAACAATTTCTTAGAAAATTGCATTGTTGCTTAAAGCAATTATTCGAGCTAAATTTCGTGAAGATATTTTGTCAAATAAAAAAGTTTTCCATGCAAGCACTTGATAGTTCCGTTTGTATTGCAGCTATATGCTATAGTGGTCCGATATCGGACATTCCGACAAATGAGCAGCTTCTTGGTGAGAAAACGACAGGTACAAAATTTCAGATCGATATCTCAAAAACTAAGAGACTTGTTCGCCTATATATAGACGGACGAACAGACGGGCATGGCTAAATCAACTCAGCTCATCATGCTGATCATTTATGCATACATTTTATAGGGTCTCCGACATTTCCTTCTGAGTGTTACAAACTTCGTATCAAACTTAATTTACTCTGTTCAGGGTATAAAAATTACTAATTCTTCTTGCTAATGATACCAGAATGCAAGTGCTGTCGCGGACGATGGACATTACGAAGGCGTGTGCTGCGAATGTGTATGTGTGTTTTGCATGAATGTGTGATAATTGCTGCACGCTGTTCAATTTTTTAAAATTTTTTTCGCATTTTTGCAAATTCAGCTATGCATTGTTATTGTTTGTGTGTGTTTTATACAATAATTTAATTTGAAACGACATTTCTATGGTCTGGCAATGATGAAGCGTTCCCGTTGTCTAACAGTAGTCTGCAGCGTTGCATTTCGCATGCTTGGCTAAGTCGTGTGCAAGCAACAATGTGCAATCTAACGCCTCAAAGTATGCAATGTACTTGCTAGTTTATTTGGTATGCTTCACACTGGTATTTTATGCATTTATATTTAATTTATTGTTGTCCATATTATTGTTAGTATTATTATTAAAACTACATATGTATGCTTCTCTATGCACGTAAGTAACATTTCGGGGGGGTGGGTTGTTGGAAAGCTGCCTTTTAACGCTTTCTGGTTTCGGTTATAATCTTTATCATTTGGATCTGTAATAACATACATACATATATGCAGTTATATATATACATACCTATTATGTAATTCGACGGTGCCTTATACAGCAGTTTGTGTGCGTGTGTTTACATGTAAGTATATATATGCATACTTATAATTGTTTGCTAAACGTTTACTCTTAGTTTCTGTTATTATTTTAATTTTTTTTTTATTTTGTTTGCATTTGTTAAGTTTTACGCTAATTTCACATGCCTTAACTAATTTGGTTCCTAGTTTGTGTTATTATTGTAACTATCATAAAACTGCGTTTACTGTTTACTGTTTACTGTTATATATATATATTATGTTTCATTTTCACAGCTACACCATTGCTATGCCTTCCGTTATAACTGTGTGTGGGTGCAGCACGTTGCATAGTTGAGTGTTTAATTAGCTGCATACCGTTATGCTTAAGTAGTTAATTTCGTCTTAATTAAATTTATTCACTAAGTACTTTTATTCAGCAGTACAAAAATTAGTCCTTGCAAAAATTATTTCTCAATTGTTTGTAACTAAGCTAAGTTCAGTTATAATTAGTTTTTTCTAGGTCTAGTTCAACTTCTCCTTAATTCCTCCTAATTATGCAATTTTTTGTCACATAAAATATATTTCATGAGTACATACATACATTTATACCTAAATTAAATTATATAACACTATTCGTATTTATCAAACATGGTTTTTATTTATTTTTTGTTTCTTGTTTTGCGTTTATTTTTAATAAATTAATATAATTTCCATAGTTACCGTATGAAAATAACAATTTGTTTATAACATTTTAGGTCTGTAGGTTTTTGAATTTCAGCGCTGTTAATTTTCAGCACACTCATGTTGCATGTACGCTTACTATCCCATACATGTGCATGTGTGTGTATACCTACTTACATATACATAATGTCTTAACATACATACATGCGTAATTATTTTGTTTTGTTTTTGCTTCTCTAATTTCCGCATAAAAATCTTTTCTCTTTAACACTACTTAAGTAACTAACTGTAATCAATCTTAGGAATTATTCAGTTGAATCAATCATTATACTTGTATGTTGCTATGTATATATGTATGTAAATGTGAGTGTATGCATGGCACTGGCTACCGCTTATTGTGCTGCATTCATTGGTGCTTTAACCAGCTTAACCGCCACAGATTTCATAGTATGGTACCCAAATCCACTGCGTCAAGCATTCATGCTTTTTATGTATTCGCTGCGCTCTCGGCTCACAAACATACAACCAAATTGCCTACATATATACTTGTACTATGTGATTTTTCTATTTTTTGTTTTTGATTTAGTTTTTGTTGCAGTTTTTGTTTGTATGTATGTATGTGTGTTTGTATATAAATGTTGTTGGAATTCTCGGGTTGTTCTACTAGTAGATTATATGCTTATTGTTGTTGTTAGTATTTTTTGGTACTGGTTGACTTTGATTGACACTATGATGGAAGCGCAAATAGATTATCCGTAGCTGATGTAGCGGTGATCTCCGCTGTCGTGATAAGCCTATGCTAGAAATCGCTACTCGTCGATGGATAACCCAAGTTGCTCTCCACCGTGTCATCCTTATGTCAGAGCGGTGGCTTGTACACCTCGATGGCCGGCGTCAGCATGTCGACGCGCGTTGAAATCGATGTATCACTGCAAGCAACAAAAACATACAATGAAAATCAGTTTTAAGTAATATATAATAACTTAGAAATATATGCCTATTATAAAAAATATTAGGTAAACTTGTGTGAATAGTTTTATTTGACAAGATGTCTTCACGAAATTTGGCATGGAGCATTACACAAGCATTACTACCAGCTCCAAACAAATTGTTTAGTTTGGACAACTTTTATGCTATAAAAATACACCAGTGAGGGGTGTTATAGCTTCCTGATTGCCCCGAAGTTAACTTTTTTTCTTATTTCAAAAATTTTTATATCAAAAATTTACCACTTTTGTGTAACTTTATTGTTAATAAGCAATAAATATTAATTTCGTTGCTGTAAATATTTGCTGAAGCTCACCACAACAAAGTCCTCGAAATCGATGTGTCTGTGTGATGACATCTTGAATTTCATGTTGGGCTTGATGACTTAAGCTTCAGCATTTACACAATTAGTGGGCAACAGAAAGTGAAGGTAATAAAAGAAGCCAAGATAACTGTTTCTCAGCAATAGAAAATGGCGGAAATGAAAGAATGAATTTTCTTATCAACATTTTTATTTGTTTTCGAACTTCTTACAATAAATATTTGGACAGCTGCCCGTAATGGCTAAAGCAGAAAATAAATTGAGCTAAAGTAAACATAAAATCCTGCAAGGTATTCGTAAGCATTTCGCTTCCTGTCGAACAGAATGATTCATCATTTATCTATGTTCCCCCGTGTAACATTTGGGTGCTGGTCACGAAATAAACACATATCCATACCTATTTATTTATGGGCTCAAGTTGTTCTTATGCACATATAGTTGTGTGAGTTTATACGTTCTTGAGACCAAATCGTGCATGCCGCGTTTACGAAAACTTTCGAGCCAATATTAATGCAGCTAACGCGCCCACCGAATGCGCGCGTAACCAATCAATCAATCTATCGGTCAAACAACGCGCAAAAGGTTCAGACAGAGAGCTTAAGGTCTTCCTGTGTAGTTGGAACATTCATCCTGTTGTTGTGGGCAACTGAAATCCCAATCTGTTTTGTAAACTACTCAAATCGGCAGTTTTTGTTGTTGCGCGTTCAGAGTCTGTTTGATTGTTGGATTATTACATGAACAGTGGTTTTGGAAACCAGACTCAATTCTCGCAAATCATAAATAAAAATTTGGAAAGCATTTTTCACAGTTTTAGCAATTAGTTGTTCGTATTCTCCAGCGAGTCGGAAGCGGAAGGAGTGCGGCAAGTTGCGTACTGTTGTTGGTGCATGATGTAATATGATGCGAAGGTGATGATTTGTGTTCAATCGTTTTGGGAGTGAGTTTGAGGATGCAAAGTACGTTTTCTCATCGTAAAGTCAGCATATTGTAAATATTTTGTCTAGCTTTCATATTCCTTGAACGGAATTTTTGGTTAAATAAGCTGTAAGGGTTGGGTGGTTGAGGAATTGACTAGACGGTGTCAGAAATGAAGTTAAGTGCCACCTGATGTCCAATCTGACCATGTACTTTTTTCTCAACTAGACGCACCTAGTTTCATGTGGGATCGTAGTTTTCAAGCAGGTGAGCTTTGTTTTGCTTGGCCATAGTGGAAAAGTTGAAAACTTTAAAGCAGAGGTAACTTGCAAGGAGCGGACGGTGTTTGAACTGTTCAAAACCCGCACATGTGGTGAAGTTAAACATTTTATGGACGCTAATTGTTAAAAATATCTGAAAGACTGAGGTTGTAAAATCTTGGATGCAATACCTTCAATGAAACGGATAGGGTTACCAATCCCACAGCAGGTTTCCACCCGCAACGTCTTGTCTTGTTACATCTTCGGGCATTCCCATAGCAAATAATTTGATATATGGGAACAAGGGAACAAGGGAACAAGGAGTTAAATCCAAGTAGAGGTACCTTCTTCAATGGCCTTTTTTTTGACAAATCACGCGTGAGTCGTGTCAAGCTGTCATGTTATTTTTGTTCAGTATTGCTCATCGTGGAAAAACTTACGCCTGAATAACGTTTACATATCGTTCAACTTTATTACGAAAGTTCACGTCCTGTAAAGAATGTGTTCGCGCGCTTCGCTCAACTTATGGTCAACCTAATCGGCCTACTGAGCTTACCATTCGCAACACCATCACCTATCTTGAGGCCCAGCATTCATTATTGGATAATACCTATTCGACCGAATAGACCACGTCCAGCACGCAGTGAAGAAAATATAGCGGCAGTAGCTGAGAGTGTACACGAAGACCGTGGAAAATCGATTCGGCGCCGTTCGCAGCTACTCGGACTGATGTATGGAACAACTTGGTTCCAAGAAGATCGGACGTTTCTAAGGCAAATTTTTGTTCAGCGATGAGGCCCGTTTCTGGCTCAATGGGTATGTAAACAAACAAAATTACCGCATTTGGAACGAAGAGCAATCTGAAGAGATTCAAGAACTGCCATTTCATCCAGAAAAAACAACGGTTTGGTGTGGTTTGTTACCCGGAGGAATCATCGGTTCATATTTATTCAAAAATGATAACGGTGAGAAAGTAACTGTCAAATGCAATACTTGAAAGTTTTAATTGTTTCATATCTAACTATTATTTCCAATGTGCATGCAAATAAGTTTTGATAATGGAATAGTGCATGCAAAAAATATTCGACCTTAGATCTATAAGTTTGTGCATTTTACTTGTACTTATAATAATTTATTTTATTCTGTTCAACTGTTCAGCTATTAATGTTGTAGCAAAAGGTTTTGTGGATTTATCGTCTAGCTCGGTGCTCCTATGACCTATACAGGATTTAGCAAACCACTTGTGAACGGTTGCTCAGCTTGGTGCAGGGTGTGGATTCCAAAACGGTCGACTCAAGTGTTTGGTCTTCTAAAATTCAGTTCTTCGCACTGAACAGTGTAAAACAAATTGAAAGTAAAGCGACCGCGGTTTGTCTGTAACGACGTGAGTGGTAGTAAAATTGTGTGCATTACGTTTGGTGAGGTGTGCACACCAATGTGCCACAGCACGTGCCTCCTGAGACAGTCGGCACATGGTCCGCGACTGCGAATGGCTTAATTAATTCTTTATTTTATTTGCGATTTATACTCGTGCAGCCGAGGTGGATGCGCCATCACCTGTCACATTCTGTATGAATTTGTGCCTCTGAAAATGTGTGTATGTTGTAATACTCGTTGGCTCTGCTGTCTGTGCTCGAACCTGCTGACTGCCACACTATGGTATAGGCAATACAGTTCTACCATGGACACTTGAAAAATGTTGCTATTTGACACAAGGCAGACTTTGAGTGCGGTTATTAATTTGATTACACGCATATGCGCACTTACATGCCCATGTACCAGTATGAGTGCATGCAAATACAGGAACATCAGACGGCCATGAGGTTGATGTGTGTTTGCCTTGAACACGCCGTGTTTGCGGTGTGAACGCGGTTTGTTAATAAAAACCACAAAAACACTCCTCGGGGAAATGGAGTTTAACTAACAAACCGCAGATGGTAGATTCACGCACACACATATGTTTCTATGTATGCTTATAAATTGCAACCCAACAACCGTTTTTGTTCTATCTCAATTTTGTATGAAATTTTTTTCTCAAAAGTTATTCCAAGTATGACATGTTCTTAAAAGTATATTTGTGTTATAAATCTATTCTCGGCTGTGAGTTGTGATGACTTTCATACTTTTAGATATCACCATACGATTACCGTATGGTTTAGAAGAATGAACAACAGTTTGAAAACAAACATGTTTTATGGGAAACACTAAAGAAGCCTGACCTGAACTTCTATTAATCTCTCTGGAATGTTTGTAAAATCTACTCCTCAGGATGCAATTTGTAATCAAGGTGAATCGGATGGTACCACGTACTTCTAGTAATGGCACGGATATTTACATATGCTTTTTTCTTTTCAATTCTGCGTATCATCTATATGTATATGTGTATTTTCATGTTACATGAGTAACAAAACATTGACTTCGTAAAGAAAAGAGATCGGTCCATAGAAAGTTGACCGAAATACTTAACAACGTAGAGTTTTAATAGTAATAATGATTTTTCATAACAACAAATTTCGTTTCGGGTACATATTTTCCAATATCATATTGGTTTTACTGTCAACTACCAATACAATGCATGTTCGTTTCAGTCAAGAACGGTAGAAATAGTGACTACGATATTTTTGGCTCGTTATTGTAGTGTGGTAGTGCGTTTGACAATAAATAACGACTGGATGATTCTGGAGAATGCTTTTCATATCAGACATATACTTCAAGCATAGAAACAACTTTCTGTAATTTTCGATTTGCAGTTTTTGAAATTAGGAATGAAAAGCTCCTTTGTATTAAATATTTCTAATGGCTTGATGTGTTTGAACTGACATACTTATATATACTCGTAGTTGGAGGCACTACCGCTTTTGTTTGTTGGGATATTCGCAAAAGCTGTTCTGTTGGTAAATTGGCAAGTAAGTTGCTAAGTCATTGTGAGGCCGGGCCATTTCGGCGCTTATATTTGTTGTTTGCGGCACTATTTTTGGTTGTTGGCAAACACCATACTTGGCTCATCGGACTTAATCGTTTGTAATGCTGCCTAAACATGGAATGTCGCCGCTTTTAGTGACCACGTGCATGCAACATGAGTACGATTGCGGCAATTAAAGTGTAAATTTGAAATTCAAAACTGCCCATATAGGTTATTACAACATTTAGTTTCCATGTGCACGTGTGAACAAGGCAGTTTGCTAATAAAAGTACTTTCTCGAAGTATCTAGAGGTGATGAAGAGATTTAAACAGTTTTGAAGCATTTATGTGTCTAGTGTAAGCGATTTAAATAGTTACGATGGCAAAGTCATTGCATTAGGGGCGCTTTCTGAATCATGAGAGTCACTTTTCTACAGATCGTTGGAAGTTCAGGCCAGATATCATCTATGTACATATATATGAATACGAGGAGGAATAGCGCTTGAAATTTCCATTACTACTAATGTGTTCCAATCAATTTTA